ATCATGTATTTCAGGTGAATAAAATTTATATATTTTTTTAATATTTAAAATTTTTTTCATAATACTTTTGTCCATATAATGAAGAGTGCTCTATACTGTTAGTACCTCATTACTTTTGTTTCCTAGGAGTGTGTGTGATTTCCCTAGAAATGTTAGAAAGAACATAAAGAAGAAGGAAGGAAAAATACACTATAACCAAGAGACTTAAAGCTTAGAACTTTGAATTTCCTTAGTTGAATTTTCAGGAGAGGATTTGAAATCTAGGTTTCTTAGCATTTAGTCAGCATTAGTTTGCTGCTTTTTTGTTGGTAGACAGACCACAATAGATAAGAGAATAATGTTTAATGATTCTGCTTAACATACTTTACAAGAGTACAGTGGACTTTTGTTCCTTAGTGGTTCCTGATAGTACAGTTTGACTGTAAGGTTAGGGCACTGTCTGATTATTTTCTACCTCAGATAAGATTGAATGCTCAGGCACCTGAGCTAGTATGTGAATCACCTTCCCTTATAATAATTTTATTATTGTAATTCCTATCTTAAAGATAACGAACTGGTTCCTGGAGTTGTTAAATAATTAACCCAAATACCAATTAATGGGACAGAGGCTTAGCTGAAATTTGAAACAATCTGAATCTCAATTCTTATAATCTATTCTTAAATGTTATATATTATATATTTCATATTATATTTGTTCCAGGAATACTTTAGTTTCTTTCTTAATTTCTCCTTTGATCCACTCATCATTTAGGACTGTGTGTAATTTTCATGAGATTGTGTAGTTACTAGGGCTTCTTCTGGTGTTGATTTTGAGCTTTCTTGCATTGTGGTCTGATGGCATGCAAAGCATTATTCCAACTTTTTTGTATTTGTTAAGGTTTGTTTTGTGTCCCAATATATGGTCAGTTTTACAGGAAGTTCCATTCCGTGCTGAATAGAAGGTGCTTGGGTGGAATATTTGGTAGCTATCTGTTAAGTCCATTTGATGTATGGTATCATTTAACTCAGTTGTCTCTCTGTTTATTCTTTGTTCAGATAACCTGTCTAATGGAGACAGTGGGGTATTGAAGTCCCCTACTATTAGTTGCAATTAATCTATGTCTTAACGTTCTATAGTACTGTTTTTATGAAATTTGATGCACCAGATTTTGATACATATATATTTATGATTGTAATACTTTCTTGCTCATTTGTTTCTTAGATCAGTATGAAGTGACCCTTGATATTTATCTCTTCCGATTAGTCTTAGTTTGAAGTCTGTTTTGTCAGATATTGGAATTGCAACCTCTGCTTTTTTCTTAGTACCATTTGCTTGGAATATTCTTCCCATCCTTTTTCCTTAAGGTAGTGTTTGTCCTTGATGGGTTTCTTGCAGACAACACAAGGATGGATTTTGTTTCTTAATCCATTTAACTACCCTGTGCCTTTTGCCTGGGGAGTTCAATCCATTGATATTTAAAATTATTGAAAGATTTGTATTGATTGCTGTCAATTTAGTTTCTGTTTTCAATCTTGCTCTAATTTTGTTTCCACAATTTATACCTTCATTTGTTTTCTTTCTGTTGCCCCTTGGGTATAGTTGTTCCTTTTTTACATTCTTTATATTGCTTCAAGTATTCTCTAAAGGGCTGGTTTTGTGGACATGTATTCTTTCAGTTTATTCATGTCATTGAAGAACTTCCTTTCCCCTTCAACTGTATTAGACTAGACATCTTTGCTGAATAAAGTATTCTGGGTTGGCATCGATGGTTATTTGGAACTGGGAATACTTTGGTCCAGGCTCTTTTGGCTTTCATAGTTTGCATTGATAAGTTAGATGTAGTTCTAATGGGTTTTCCATTATATGTGATGTGTTGTTTTTCTTTTTCAGGTTTCTGTATTCTCTCTTGTTCTGTACATTTAGTGTATTTACTATGCTACACCGTGGGGAGTTTCTTTCCTGGTCCCATCTATTTGGTATTCTGTATGCTTCTTGTATTTGTATGGGCATTTCTTTCTTCAATTTTGGGAAAATTTCTTCTATAATTCTTTGAAGTTCTGGTCCATACCATTGTTCTAAGAGTCTTCTCCTTCTTCTATGCCTGTGACATGTAGATTTAGTCTTTTCATAGTGTCCCACATTTCCTACATATTCCTTTCCTGTGTTTTTAAAAATGTTTCATAATCTTTGCTTGAGCAGTCCAGTTCTTCACCTTTATCGTTCAGTCTTGATATTCTGTTTTCCAGTTTAGTCATTCTGTTGCTGAAGCTTTCTCCTGTCTTCAAATTGGCTTATTGAGTTTTCATTTCCTTTCAGTCCAGCTCCTCAAGAACTCCTGCAGAGGCCCAAGTCAGATGCCAGTCAGGTGCTCTCAGGCTTCCTCCTAAGGTCAGGGCCTCTACTACTGAGCACAATTTGGGAAGTTTTCTAAGGGGAGATCTGATTTAGGTGCTCTCAGGCAGTATGCAAAGATCTGGGCCGGCTACTAAAGGACAGAAAACCTGGCCCTGAGCTGGTAGGATGGACTGCAGGTGGTCCCAATGTAGGGGGAGGGCACAGTGTGATTTTGGAAGCTCACAACCCCTTGGAGGCCAAATCCAGGCACTCTCAGGCAGTCTGCAAAGGCTTGGGTCCCTACTGAATGGCAGAGAATGCTAGTCCTGAAGCAGTGGGAAGGACCACATGTTGTCCTAATTTAGGGGGATGGGCATGGTATGATTTAGGGAAGCTCACCACCACTTGGAGGCTGAATCCAGGCACTCTGAGACAGTGTGCAAAAGGTTTGGGTGTCTATAATAACTCTGAAGAACTGGAATTTAATGACAAGGTTTATCATACATCCCAATTCCTCATTTCTACTGAATATAGAAAATGGTTACTCCTTTATTCATATAGTTAATTATTTTCAGTGATTTACATGATGTAAACCTGCCAATTGCAGTTGCTCACTATCCAATAGTAACTCATGGACTGTATTACTGGTATGTTGTATCTAAGTTCATTTGTGTGTACTTTAAAAAGAGATTGAGAAGAAAGTAGAGCTACTAACTGTTGAGTAACATGAGAAGGGGGATCCAAGTTGTCTTTTCTACATTGTCTCCTGTCTGTCCTTTGGTGTGAGTAGCGGGTCCCTAAATGTGACACTTACTTTCAGTTTATCAGAACTAAATATTTTTCTTCAGTGTTAGATTTTTGGAATAGGTATAATTTTCAACATTTTCTCAGAAAACTACTGTTTGACATAATTATCTGGAAACCAGGTTTAGTTTTTTTAAGGTCTCTCAATAATTTTGTATAGTAATATTTACTTAGAGTTTATGCCTCTTGACTATTTGTATCCAAAAATTAAATGCAGACTTTTTCATTGCATGAAAGACTTGTACAAATAACCTTTCTTGGTTATTTAATGTTACTGAATAGCGTTCCCTTTTTTGATGAAAATTTGTTCATAAAAATAGGTTATTTTTTTCGAAAAGTCTTTTAATGGTATGTGAGACAGTTTTACTGTTCTTTGAACTCAGAAAGTAAGAATTAGATTGATTACAAATTAGCAATCTCAGAGTGACCACAAGTGTCAGTGTTTGCCTGTCTTATTTTTCTCCTTCAGTTTTCGCAGTGTTGCACAGTAGATACTCATATGAAGAATTTCTTTTCATTTGAAGAAAAGTGTGTTTGTCTCTTTCAGAGTTGTTTACAGACACCTTTATTTTAATTAATATAAGCTGTTAATGAACCTACATTGTTGGACTATGTGGTATGTTTGGTAAGTTTTAGCTCACACAGAATTTTCAAGAATGTAACTACAGTGTATATCAAGGGAAGCTTATAATTGTTCTGAACTTCACCAGTAGCTCACCCTTTCAGTAATTCATCTTGTTTATGGCAGCGATGTTCTTAGTAATTGAGTCACCACTAC